GGTGGGATGGTTTCCCTGATCAATTTCCATCACCCAGAATTTTCATTCAAGGAATATCCTTGGCAGGAGTTCTCAAATGGTTTAGTGTATGTAATGCTGCTTTTGTTCTTCTGTACCAAATTTGAACTTGCCTAGAAAATATCTCTCAGTTCTGCATGCTCAGTGATCATAGACTTTTTCTATCGAGGAAAAATTAGCATGAGACAGGTAAGACTGCTGTCCAGGGAAGCATGCATACTTATATAAGCAAAAAATATTTTCTGGATAATAGTGATACTGGATGAATAGTAAGTGTTCTGGGAAGTATGGACATTACTCTCAGCCCAACCTACCTCACAGGGTTTTTGTTGTGGGGATAAGATGGAGGAGGAGACTGATGCAAGCTGCCTTGAGCCCTTTGTAGGAAAAAGGCAGGATATAAATTGGAGGGAAAAGAAACAGGGTTGATGTCACAGTGTGCTTTGAAGAAAGGGAAGGTCTGCAGAAATATCAAAATCTTAAAAGCACATTCTTATAACACTGTCACCTAGCTAATGCAGGTCACATGTTTGTCCCATGTGTCTTTAAAATCACAAAGTGCTTTCAGAAAATCAGAAAACTTTGTGATCTTCTCTCCTATAGCTAACATTTTGAAATGGCTCCATTCTTCTTGCCTCTTCCAGTCACTACAGTTTAGTTATTTGCTTGGCTACTTGAGTTTTGGCCGCATGGCTTGCTGGTTCTGATCCCGCAACTATGACAGGTGTGTTTTCCACACCATTCAATTGGCACGATCCTGGTACTAGGACACCATCCACCCTTTCTCTTGTTCTGCTTATACTGGCTCTGAAGCAGACATGTCTCATGCCCCATTTCAGTATGGATTCAGAGGGCACAACAGGTGGACTTACAAAGAAGGGTAGGGCAGGGCAGGGCAGCAAAATTAGGCACATATCTTCTTTCATGATGGCCAAGAGGGCAGATTTATGGAAATGACAGTCTATCCTAATTGGGGCAATGGAAGTAACCTTGATGCAATAATTTTGTGTAGATGATCTGCTGCAATTTGGAATTTGATGAGGGTTACATCTTGAGGAAGGCTCAATAATAAGGCACAAAAGCAGTTTTACATCAGATCATTATACTGTCCTATGAAAACCTACAGACTCAATCAAAACTTCCTATGAGTAGCATATGGATCCAGGTGGAAAAACCTGATCTGAGCTCGGTTAACTTCATACAATGAGGTTTTGTAAAGGATTAGAAGTCAAAGAGTACAAGCAATTTTTCGAAGATTGTATTGTTTTGTAGAGCTGTAGAAGTTAACATGTCTTGCACTACCTGTGCTAGCCAAACAGGAGACTGATTCTCAGGCAGACACAACTCAATGGAAGGAAAAATGAGGTCAAACTTTCATATCTATCATTTGCCTACCCCTGGACAGTTTTTCCATTTGTCAACACATGACCTCAACTATGAACAATAATACGGATTTTCTCTTATCACTGTTCTTATTGGTTCCCTAAGATGAAAGCTGACCATAATCTGACAGTGTCCATGCTTTGGACAGCACAGAATTCATTCATTCCATTCTGCTCTTCAATTCTTCAATGCTTCCTCCTTGTAAGCTGCTCTCTCCTGTTCATCTCAGGCTTGAAGAGAAGGATGTAGCATTTGGGAGGAAAGATGCAGCCTAACACACCAGCACTGGAGGCTAAGATGGAGAAGACCTCAACAGCCACCATGTATTTGCCTGTGGTGCTCAAGTAGACCGGAACAAAGGTCAACCAAACACTGCAAAAGAGCAGCATGCTGAAGGTGATGAACTTGGCTTCATTGAAAGTGTCTGGCAAATTGTGGGCTGAGAAAGCCACCACGAAGCAGATGAGGGAGAGAAGGCTCAGGTAGCCCAGCACCAGATACAACATGATGGCAGAGCCAGCATTGCATCGCACAGTGATTTTGTCAGGAAAGAAATGCATGTCCCACTCTGGGAATGGGGGAGAGATGCGAAGCCATGTGGCACAAATGCCAGCTTGAATAAGGGAGCAAGGAAGCACGATGTAGGTGGCCAGTCTTTTCCCCACCCACTTCCTCATGCCAGACCCTGGCTTGGTGGCCATGAAGGCCACCACCACTGTGATGGTTTTGGCCAACACACGAGAAACCGCCATGGAGAAGATCACTCCAAACATGGGCTGTTGGAGAAGACAGGTCACCTTGCCTGGCTTTCCA